AGAGAGAGAGAGAGAGAGAGAGAGAGAGAGAGAGAGAGAGAGAGAGAGAGAGGTTGGTGGCCAGATAAAAAGACTGGACTCATTTGCCAGATAATTTTTAGAGTTAATTCTCATAGCTCAAGGAAGGCACTTAATTTATTGTTGATGAAACTGATGAATATTTCTGGGAATCTAGTGAGACATTGAACAATATTAAATGTTCTGCAAAATGATATGGAAGCCAAACTTCTGACACCACCTCTGTCTTTTCTGATTTATTCAATAAAAAATATATTACTATCATTCTAAAACAAATACTTTAATATCACTCCAAAGTTGTTGAGTAATGTGAAGATTTGAAGAGAAACATAATGAACAGGGAGAAAGGAACTGATGGCTTCCATGTGTTGAGAAGCAAAAGAAGTGAATAGACAAACTTTGAATCAGTTTTGACTTTTAATTTGATTACAGCCTATGGTCATGTGACAACTGAGTCTCAACTGAGGAATTGCCACATAATCTAAAACTAACCAGCACAGGTTTAGGAAGATCACATAATCTGTCCTGAGGGTATATGTTTTGATGTTAAACTGATGTAGGAAGGCACTGCCCACTGTGGGCGGCACCATCCCTAGACAGGTAGTCCTAAGCTGTTCAAGAATCTAGATAAACATGATCCTGTGCTTGAGTTAACAAGCAGTGTTTCTTCATTATTTTGACTTTAAATTCCTGCCCCAACTTCCCTCAATGGTGAACTGACCTGTAAGTTAAGCCAAAAAAAACCCTTTCCTCCCTTTAGTTGTGTTTGTTCATGATATTTGCCATAGCAATGAGGAGAATCATCCAGAATATCTTATAATTGAAAGACATTATTTATATGTCTTGATGGCATGGTGAATTTTGAGGATTCTGTAACCAATAAGATTTATTGCTGTGCATAGCTGAAGTTTTGGCTAGAGACATTTTCATATCTCAGCCAGTTTGAGAGTTGTTCCCATGTAGAGGGATCAGGAAATCGTGTTACCTGTCCTGTTTGGTCTTCTTAAATTTTTTTCTTTCCTTTCTGAAGCCAGGATCTTCAGGGAGTCTTCCTCTATCTGATCAGAGAATTGTTGAAGTATGTCTTTTACTATTTATTGTAATACTAAGTGCAGGCCCCCAAGACCCTTCCTCCAACTTAATTCTGATTGGGCAGAAGAAACATAGGTGGGTTGAGGTTTTGTGAGCTTGGGACCATGAGTAGGAAGGAGAAGATGGAAACTACCATGGAAGAAGAACATTCAGAGAGTTGTTGTTGGCTAATGGCCAAGAGAATGTGGCTCAGAGAGCTGCCCACTTGGGTTAAGAGTAGCCCAGATGGAACATAGTAAGTAGTAAATTACAACTTGGAGCTATTGAAAGTAGATTCTAACAGCATAGAGGGTAGGCCGATGCCCAGCTATTGCATTGCCTAAGGCATATTTATAAACATAAAGGCTGTGTGTGTCTTTTATACAGGAATCTAAATGGTCTAAGGCACGGAAGAAGCTCTGTGCTGGGATTTTTACTTCTTATCACATTTCTCTCTCATCCAGAATGAGAAGGTAGAAGGCTGAAAACGTGGGTCAGGAGAAAGAGAAAGAGACTCAGCAAAGAATCTGGGCACCGACCTACCTAGAATAACCAGAAACTCAAACAGAAAGAAGAGATAGGTAAGAGTTCTTTTCTCATATTCCATACTGTTAGGAAAAATGTGAGCGATTAATTTTGATTCCTATTTCCACATACACTATAATCAGAGCTACTGGGTCGTGGTGGTGGCTCGTGTCTTTAATCCTAGCACTTGGGAGGCAGAGGCAGAAGAATCCCTGAGTTCAAGGCTATCCTGGTCCACAGGGTGAGATTCAGGACAGTCAAGGCCACACAGAGAAACCCTGTCTTACCCCAGTCTCCAAAAGAATACATAATTATATAAAATCTTTATTTTTATGGAATTTACAAGCTATAGACAACAAATAAGTAGTTCTACACATTCATTTTTCTTTGATGTAGCTGTATTTATGGTGTGCATATGCATGCTTTTGTGTGTGTTCTAAAGTGCATGCGCATAAGCATGTGTGTATGAAGCCAAGAATATTCTTGAACCACTCTTCTACCTAGTTCTTTGAGTCTTGGTGTCTCAGTCAAAGCTAGAAGCCACCATGATGGCTTGTCTGAGGAAATCTCCTGCCTCCACATTGTGAGGCTGGAATTATGGGCAGGTTGCCACCCTGCCAGGCATTCATATGGTTTCTGGGATTTGAACTCCAGTTTTCAGGCTTGTATGGCAAGCATTTTATCTGCTGAGCCATCTTGTCAGTCCCATTTTAAGTTTCACTGGCTCTGTAAAAGGTATCATGTATCCATGACCCAACAGTGTCTTTCTCCCTTGTATAGAAACCTCTTTTCCAGAGAATTTCCTCAGTGCAGTATGGTCTCCCTTAAAGACATTGGTTGTAAAAAGGACACAGATCTCTTTTGTAAAAAGGGAAAAAAAAGCACCAACTAAGACAACAGCCCCGTTCTTTGTTTCCACCATTCATTGTGAGCAGAAGACAGGAGCCAAGGCTGTATGCAACCTGACAGTTTTTTGATTCACAAATGAGGTCCGAATGCTGAATGCTAGAACTGTTTTACTCCAAACTGAAGGCAGCAATGTTGTCCCTGTAAAAGCCTTGGAAGAAATGCCTTTCTAGTATTTGTTGCAAAACAACAAAGCACCCAAGAATTTGAATATTCCCCTTTTAAAACCGCTTGCTTTGGGGTGGAATCTACTCAGGGTCAAGAACCCAGTGTGCTGGCACAGGGAGACTTGGATGAGAAGCTTCAGAGCTTTGCAAGCCAGGCTGTCATCACACCATGATGGAAAACATAGTCCATCATCTGAAATCTTCAGAACTGGAAACTGACCACCAGGAAATGGGCATGTGGTGGTGAAATGGCTGACCATCCAGAAATGAGACAACATTGCTTCCACCCCTCCACCAAGGGATGTTCCAACCATCGCGGAGCGTCACCACAGAAACATATGCCGGTGTTCTCACCAGGGCTTCCTTATGGTAAGATCTCACAGGTGAAGATGTATATTTTGCATTATTATTTCAATTTTTCATTTCCTCCTTTTTTTTCCCTTTCTGGGATATGCAATGTGACCAAAGAGCATATATCCCCAAGGTTGGCAGAAGAGGGAGCACTTGTAACTTAGAAACCACACACACACACACACACACACACACACACACACACACACACACAGAGAGAGAGAGAGAGAGTCCACTTACATAACCTGGCTTCATCTGTTTTTTAAAAAACCAGCCATTTTCACACAGCTGCAGAGAGTACCGGATGTTTTTGTGCTGAAAGTCCTGAGCATAGAAAGCTCTCTTCATGGCTCCAAGCTCAAGATGTTTCCAGCATACCCCACCACCCTCTCTAGGTTCCAATTATTTACACAGTATCATCCCTTATTCTTACCACCATGCAACTTGGAAAGATGTATAATCCTCTAAGCATTCTGGAGCAAAACAAAACAAATCAAAACCCCCCAAAGCAAGCTATGAAAATTATGATAGAAATTAGGGGAAAAAAATAACCCAGCAGATGCAAAAGTAAGAAAAAGGCAATAGTGGAAAACAGGAAACCCTTGTATTTTTCAAAGAAATTTGGTTGCAAAATAGCAAAACACAAAAACAAACACAACGGGACTCCTTCCCAAGTCTTCAGCCATTCATGTTTTGCTTTCCATTATGCAAAATGTTGGTTTGATGGATTTTATTTTTCCACCACAAGCTGCTTTCCTCTTTACAGGTGCAAACAGATGGGGAAGGTAAGACTAGGAGGGACTGAAGCCTGTTGAAGTTTGGTCTGCTGGTATGTACTGTAATGCTAAATTCTCTACCCAAAGGTCTAGTGCCTTGTCAAATTTACAAGCTTTTGTTGTTATGCAAACCTTGTTTCTTGATTTAAATAAGACTGCCTACTTCCAGTTACTGGAGGGATTATAGGTAGGTGGGTTTGGAGTGACCTAGTTAGAGGAGGAGGAGAAGAGAGGAAGGCAAGAAGGCTAGAGAAAGAGAAACAGGTGAGAGGAAGTAGCTGTCACAAGGGGAGAGGAACCCTGAACATGACCAGAAGAAACAGCAAGTATCTGGGGTACACTGCTGGGGAAGTAGCCAGGCCAGCAGTTAGAAGAGTAGATTAGGTGTGACACCCCAGTAACTGCCAAAGCCAAATAAAATAACCATCATCTGAGTCTCCTTCGTTTGTAAATTAGTTGGTGCTAAGCTTAAAGTGGTTGTACACAAGCCTGAACTCATCAGTAACTGTCTTTACTTGTACATTGAATGCCTCAAATTTTCTCCAGCATTTTGCTACTTTTAACCAAAGAAATGAAGATTTATTACTCTTCAAGCCCATGTGGTTGTGAAAGAGACTATAAGGCTGAGTAGAGCTTGTAGAGAGTAGCCACGCATGTCACGAGCCAGTTGGAGTCATTTTGGGGGCTTTAGCAATTCATTTCTTTCTCCTAAATAAACTAGAGGGGATGTCTTGGTCTGTGGGCCAAATCTGACCCATCTTTGTATGGTCCATGAGTTAAAAGTAGTTTTCATATTTTACAGGATATAAAAAAGAGAAGAAGGTACAGTGTCAAACCCACGTACAGCCCTGGCTATGACTTTTATAGAAAAATATCTGTGACCAATAGAAGAAGCCGTAAGGACACAGATATTCTGATTTTGTTATTATTTACTAAAGATAATAAAAAACCCTATCTGTCAATATGTCTTTCATATGGAAACTTGTCAGTTCAGAGTCCAGAGCCTTAGCCACTTAGTTTACTTCAATCCTTTATGGACTGTTCTAACCAGCCTCAGTTTAAGTATCAGATAATTAGGGACAGTCACCAAGTACTGTAAGGCCCCATGATTTACCTAAGAATGATACTCAAATAGTATGTAAAAGCAAAGAGTATTTTAGTCTGCTGAAGTCCAGCATGCTGGGGTCTCCCACTCCAAGATAGAGACAATCAAGCTTGCAGGCCCAATTAAAAGCAGACTAGGGGAATCTGGGTAGGGTAACCTTTATCTTGTTCTATCTCTAGGGACATTCCAGAACCATTACAGGAGGATGGAGGCTGGAAACTGTTGCTGGAAGGTCTGGAAACTGTTGCTGGGAGGTCTGGAAACTGTTCCTGGGAGGTCTGGAAACTGTTGCTGGGAGGTCTAGAAACTGTTGCTGGAAGGTCTGGAAACTGTTCCTGGGAGGTCTGGAAACTGCTTACCCATTGCTCTTGCTTTAGGCCAGGTGGCCCGCAGCTTCTGATGGCAGGGCAGTTTCTGACTAGCTGCCTGAAGCCTGTTTTTTTTTTTCCGGTTGTTGTTTGTTTTTTTCCTAGTAAATGACTTTCCTGGACTTGCTGGGCTTGCCTGGACTTGGCCAGTTCCTAGGCCTCATCTTCTGAACTGCCAATTTGAAGCCTGTCATGGAGTCAGCCTAGCCTTCTCAGTACCCACAAATTAGGGATAGCTACTCTGCCCTGGATCCTACTGAAAAATTACTCAGGTAGCCGGTGATAATCCTTATATGTCTAACCCTTTCCTTTCCCTTGAAAACTACAACAAAATCATCTGTCCTTGTTTTCCTCTTTTTCCTGGTATTTGACCTGCTGTTCACTCTCTAACTGCCACTGTCCATGGTGTAGTGTGCCACATGGGACACTATGAGTCTTGGGACATAGGAGTTTAAAAATATTTTTTTAAGTGACAATTGCTTTTTAAATTGAGAACTCCACATATGCATATAATGTGTATTCATCCAATACAATCCCTATTCCATTCCCACAGCTCCTCTCCTGTCTCTCCACTGTAAGACTCTGATGGGCCTTAGCTTACTGGGGACCCCCTGAGTGAACAATGCAGAGCCAGGGATCGATGCAAAAGCAAGAGGAATTTTATTGTTCCAGCATGCTGGGGGTCATCCTGCAACCAAAAGGAGAGGCAATGACCCCGTGCAGCTCGTTCAGTGAGCTTTTATACAGTTTGTAGGGGTAGCATAGAGAAACAGCAACTAGGTACAATATAATTGGCAGAACAGTGTGACTTTTAAACTGATTGGTCCCTAGGGAATGAGGTGGCAAGGACTTCCCTTGTCTGTGGGTAGCCAATGGTCCATCCTGTGGAATGTGTCCTGACCTGCAGGTTCGCTCTCTCCCCTGTTGTCTGAGGAATGTTAATTAGCCTCTCCCTTCCGGAGGGACAAGGATTCCAAAGTTCCTAAGCTGACCTCTTCACCACTACTTACCCCTCTCCATCTCTTTCAAAACTCCATGCATCCACTTACTGTCCACTTATTACTTTCTGTATGTGCGTAGGTGCAGGGTCGTCTCCTGGAGCACAGTTAGCCTTCCTGTCTACAGACAATAGTATTTTGGTTGGTTGGCTTCATCGTACCTACCTAAAGAATATAATTTTTAAAAGAGACATGAACTTAACTGTATTCTCAAAGGAGGCTTGCTCAAGTCATACCCTCAGGAGCTACAAATATGATTTTACTTAGAAGCAAGATGTAAGTTCAAGGTACAGTATACCTATAAGGAAAGGAGAAGCTAAGAGACAGATGCAGGGAGATGCCACATAAAGGCTGAGGAGGTCAGAGTGACGTGGCTACAAGCCAAGGATCACCAAGCATTGCTAGAGCTGCTACAAGCCAGGGGAATCCAGAGAGAATTCTTTCCTAGGACTTTGAGGGGAACACAACTCTACTAATATCTTCATGTTGGGTACCCCCCCCCATAACTGTGAGTGGATGGATTTGTGCTGCCTTGAGTCTTTTGGTTGGAAGAATTTTGTTCTAGCCACCCTAGGAAATGAAGCAAAATATTATGTAGGTTACTTGACCCCTTTTCAGAGAGGAATAGTATGAAATTCTGCTGAAAAGGCTGCAGTGAACTATAGGAACCGAGAAAGCACACGGCCCTTTAATCACAGAGCGCTTGTCACATTACTAAAAACAGTTTTCCTGCTTGGGTTGAAAACAAAATTGATTTTGATAAGTGACTGGGGAAAAGGGAACACACATGCGCACACATACACATGGAATGGTCCCAGGTAATACACACGAGATGATTCTGGCGGATCAGTCCAGATACTAATTGTACTAACTTGCTTGTTATTCATCTACAGCCTTATGAAGAAAACAAATTCCTCCATTGAAGATATGGAGAGTTGGAGTGGGGTCTGGATCCAAACTTGTCAGTTTTCCAGCAGAGCCCCAGTGTTATAGGGCTGAGCACTTGGGCTTAGTACTGGAAAATGCTAAGACATGAGTAATATCTGTGCAGAGAAAGCAAAGTGGGTCTGGATATGAAGTTTAATGTATAAAACCTTGGCCTGAGGCAGTCACTGAAGCTGTTTTACAGAGTAGTTGGAAGAATGTGGGTCTGTGTTTCCAACCACTTAATGTTAGATAGTATGTTAGAAATATAGTCTGAGTGTAAGCCTGGTCAAGACCATGAGACAAGTTAGAGAAAGCAGACAAAATCACTGGTCCAAGAGGTTGAAGCTGCACAATGGTGTGTGGAGAAGAGCTGGCTAAGCGCTTGAAAGTTAAATAGCTGGAGAAAATACAACCACAACAGTTAGTTGTTCTGTCTCTGTCTCTCTGTCTCTGTCTCTCTGTCTCTGTCTGTCTCTGTCTCTCTCTCTCTCTCTCTGTCTCTCTCTCTCTCTCTCTCTCTCTCTCTCTCTCTCTCTCTCTCTCCACTTAGTTTTGAGGATAACTTGCTGAAGTCATCTCTCTCTTTCTATCCTGTAATATCTGACAGATAGAATTCAGGTCATTGGACTCTGTAGCAAGTGCCTTTATCCACTGAGCAGTTTTCCTGGCCCAATTTTCTATTTAAAAATATTAGATAATTTCTAGGAGGAGTGACCTTGGTCCTTCTCACTGACAGCATTATAGATACTGATGTTCTGATCACTTCTGATACCCAACCTAAGTGTCCTCTGCAGGAGTATTTTCCACCCGAGGGCAATATCTGATTATGCTATCATTTGCTGTAAGAATGTTCTAAGCTTCGCCATGTGATTCAGAAAAAAGGACTGCATCCTTGGTGATAAAAAGGACAATAATTTTAATCTGGGACCTGTTCCAAGCACCGCATTGACATGATATAGCAGCCCTTTGTGGCTGCATCCTATCTGGGTATCTTTCTGGCCCCATCAATCAAAGTGCCATAGAAGAAGCCAGCAGCTTCTTAAGCTTGGTGCTACTACTATCTCAGCCCTCGAGAGGCTGTGAACCTGATAGGACTGCACATGTTTCCTCTCCCTCATGCTGATCAGAGTCTATGGCAGCTGAAAGTTGCCAGTCGAATGTGCTGACGTCTCAGATTCTGTCTGTGGAAATCTTGATGCCCAAGATACAAACACCTTGGTTAATGGCTTCTCCTGTGCTACGGGGCTCTAGTAGAAATAGAGCAGCTTACACCCTGAGTACTATAGGTGACTACAGTCTCAAGAGTGCTTTTTTCTTCTTCCTCAGTTTTCACCATCCCAATGAATAAAATCAAACTATCCGAGCAGGGATGTATCCTCAATTAAAACGATATTTAATGCATGCTCAAGACTCAGTCAGGCCTGGACCCAAAGTGACTAGTTGACTCCATGAGCAGGTGGTCACCATACTGGATGGAACAGAGTATCCTGTAGGGGGTACACTGACTCCTTCACTGGCTCTTTTGGGGCAGTAGTTTGAAGGGTCGTAGCTGAAGGTGTGGCCTCATTGCTATGACCAAGTGCCCTGTGAATGGCTGTCTCTTAATTAAGACTGGAGTAGAATGAACCAAAACCAAATTTATCCAATCTGAGGAATTGTGTGTGTATCCCATTATATTTGATTTTTCCTTACTGCATCTTTAGTGATTCCCAGGATGTGACAAATGACTTAATCTTTGAATAAGAGACTGATACGTAATGCATGGGACAGATAAATCTTTGTCACTCATATGGGTGCTTGTGATGGCTAATTGTGGCTGGCATCAAGACATCTTGACACAGTTGGGAGGAGAGAAACATAACTGAGGAATTACCTATTTCAGATTGGCCTATAGGCATGTCTGTTGGACATATTCTTAATGATGAATGACTAATGTGGGAGGTCCCACTCCACTGTAGGCAGTGCCATACCTAGGCTGGTGGTATTGGTCTGCAGAAGAAAAGTAGATGAACCAGCTGAAAAGTACTGAGACAGCAGACAGTGTTCTCTGTGGTCTCTGCTTCAAGTTCTTGGCTTGGCATCCTGAAGTAGAAACTTCTGGTTTCTTTGGAAAGTTAGTTATGTCAAATGATGTTTTGCTGGGACACACAGGCAAAAGGATTCTTTGCTGGAGCAGAAATGGGAAAGAATGTTTTTATGAAGCAGACACAGATGAAAGAATGTTTGGATATAGCAAACACATGAAAGGCCCTGCGATGAAGGAGTATAAATATGGCCCCACAGACAGTGGGAGATGAGGACTGAGCATTGATTTGGTTTGTTCCACCTCACTATTCTTCATTAACAACACACATTGGTGATGGCATTGGTTCACCTTACATATATAGCGTTGTTGAGCTCAACTTGTGGTAAAGCAGTCATTAAGGGAAACTCCACTGCTTCCACTCAGGTCAGTTGGGGAGACCTGCAGTTTCTTCAGGATTGAAGTACAGCTGCTGGCTCATTCATGGTATCTGCCTGCCAAAAGGATAGAACTACAGCTTCTGGTTCCTGTGTAGTACCTGCCTGCCTAGAGGACTGATGTGTAGCTGCTGAATCGTATTTGGTGTTTGCTACGAGACTGAACTGCTGCCAAGGAAGCTTGAGCTTGCCCTCAAAGAACTATTGCTGAACAGGTCTACTTCCTCTGTATTCTAATAACTTTTCCACTACCTCTGCTGGGTGGTGGGCTAGAGGAGAGGTTGAACCCTTATTAAAAGCAGGTTGCAAAAATTTATGCCTACAGCATCGCTCCATTAGAAACTGTAAGAAGAAATAAACCTTTTCTTCTCTGAGTTGCTTTTGATGATGGGATTTATCACAGCCGCAGAGAAGCAAACTAAAAACATGTAATCATGAAAAAGGTTTAATGAGAGACCAGGAATGGAATTCTCCAAGTGGCAGTCATGAAGGTCACCTGAAGTGCAGGAATGAGTCAAACAGAGGAAATGATTCTTGCAGATGCTTGTAGAGTCTTGTGATTTCCTTCTACTGCCTGAAGATACACAATGCATAGAAACTCACGCATTGGCTCGACTTTCAAAGACTGATCACACTGTGCCTTTAAGATCTGACCATGCTTTTGCTTGTACCTTAAACAGCCATACTTCCATCCTCCATGGCACATGGGTGCCAATGCCAACATGATCATTTAGAGAAAAATCTCTGTATTTGAATAGGGCTATTTGACTCATTTCCAGCTAAGCACTATTCTCAGCATTGGGGTGTGTGGCTGTTTCCCTTAGGAGGAAAGGCTGGATAAATAGGATATTTTCCTAGTGTATGGTCTCATTAGCTCCTTCTCTGCAGCTGTAATAAAATACCTGACCAAAGCTACTAAAGGGAGAAAGGGTTTGTTTTTGTTCTCAGTTCCAGAAGGAAAACACCATAGTGGGGAATTCGGGGCCCACAGGACCATGAAGCTGGCTTGGCAGTCAGCAATAGAGTGATTGCATTTTATCTGGAGAGAGAGAGAGAGAAAGAGGGAGAGAGAGAGAGAGAGAGAGATGAGAGAGAGAGAGAGAGAGAGAGAGAGAGAGAGAGAGAGAGAGAGATGACTATCTTCCAGTAAGGCTCTACCTCCTAACAGTTCCTTAACACTTGAGCCTATGGGACCATTTGACCTCCAAACCACGGAAGTAAACAGGAGTCATATCCCACTCAGTTTTTTTTCCATTTGGTCATTCTTTGCCTTTGATATTTTAGGGTTAGGAGTATCTGGCACAGAGATATTTTGTCACCGTTAGAAATGGTGAGCACTCATTAAGGGTGCGCATTGTACACTGTCCTTGGAGAAAGAAGGTGGGACTTTAACACTACGACAAAACACTATAAATAAGGAATATTGTAGTATTTTGTGTTTGAATAAGGTTCAGACTATAGGACTACTATTGCTTGAGTATGTACAAAAATCTGGAAATCATACAGCTTGTGAATTTCCAAGACATTTGGGAGCAGATTGCACTTGGGAGCAGTAACCTGTCCCTGTTGTAGAGACTAAGTGTGTTTGTCAGACATGATGCTGATACTTGAAACCTACCTTCCAATCTGCAGACATCACTCTTTCACAATTCTCTGCTGGGACACATATCCAGCTGCAGGCTGCCCAGAGGCCCAGGTCACACCAGTCTCTCAGGAGAGTCACTTGATACTATGTAGTCATCCAGAAGTGGAAAGCAGCTACTTCACTATTGATGCAAGAACATTGAACGTGATACTTCTAGATCCGCTATAGAATTGCAAGATCTGGGTGTTTCTCAAATCAGATGCAAAACAGCATCTTTTAAATATTTTTATATTAGAAAAATAAAAAAAAATAGAACGACGTTCTTTATATCAATTAAAAAGTGGAACAGCGTGGGGAAGAGTGGCTTTTGTGAGACTTTGGATGGCATCCTAATGATGAGCTCAGGCTTCAACGGATTTTTGCTATTGTTAAATTGTTTTGGGTTTTGGCAAAGGAACCTCATGCGTCCTGGGAGAGCTGGAGACATTTTACAGTGTTCCAAAGAGAGTTACAAACAAAGGCCTTTTGTTGATCTAAGTAACAGGATGGAGTCAGGGTTTTCAATTCTTCATTCTTTCTCTAGTAGGTAAGAATAGTTACTGATTAATGAGGCAGGAAGAAAAACAAGACTAAGCTTTGACTGCTTCAAATGCTGTTTCCTAGTAGTTGCCACCGATGGACTTCCTAATGTTTGGCACCAAGGGTGATTACATCTCTCCACTGTGAATCAAGAGTGCTCAGGATGAGAACTGAAATTCTGTTTAGAAGTTGTAGTCTGTGGGAATATCTTTTACTGTGGAGCATATGCTATTCACATCCTCATGCATGTCTTGGAAGTAAGATAGGTCCACAGCGCAGAAATAAACCCTAATAGTTAGTTACTCAGCTGATGGTATAAAAAAAAGATGAAATATTTGTTTTTCAGACTCCCACGTTCCTGCATATAAAGGTGTTCCTGGTTGATTTGAGATGGTTTCTCAAGCAGGAGACTATTTGTTGGGAAGTTCTCACCATACCCATTATTGTTCTAGGGCTTGAGACCAAGTGGAAGTTTTAATATGCTGTTCTGGGATTCTGTGACTCCAGCATGTAAGCTTGCAGAGTTCAGCTCTCCTCGGTTTTCGGGATTTCTGTAGATTCCACTTAGTGTGTTCTCAGCATGTGGAGAAGGAGGCTCTTCATTGCACTGTCATGCCTTCTCCAGACTCACAGATATGCCTTTGCCTCTCTATTGTCTCTCTTTACCATGTCCCAAGCAGCTCCTCTGTCAACTTTAGTCTCTTGATTCTGTTCTTTCTTATGATGAACTTTCTAAGTTATTTTGACTCTACACTAAGACGTGGGTTTCTGTTCATCAGATGGGTGTCGGTGGGAAGAGAAGACAAGGAAGACAAAGGTAGCAATGAAGCAATACGTGGAGATGCCATACTCCAAAGCGGTAGACAGACAAATATTGATAGAAGAGTAAAAAGAAACCAGTCTGGCCTTGAACTCAGAGAGATCCACCTGTCTCTGCCTCCTACGTGCTGGGATCAAAGGTGTGCACCACACGTGGCAGACTTCACTTCTCGGAATGTTGTTTCCTTATTTTCTAGGGATCACATTGATTCTTGACTCTCACTTAGAAGCAACTCATTCTGGTATTAATTTTCTACACTTTATACCATGCACCCATAGGCACACATGCAGAGGCTGCAGTATGAACTCCTTCCCCAGATAGACAGGACCATCAGTGAAAGAACAGATGCAAACACGGCTCAAGAAGTAGGCCTTGGGAGTTCAATTTACTGAACTAAAATGAAATAGAATTTTATTTGAAAACCTAAGTGTTCTTTAGACAACTTGGTCAGGATTACTTTTTCATTTTCTAGTAAGAAAAAAAAAAGCTTGTTTATCATTTACATTTGGATTGCATTGGTTTTGAGTGTATTTTGTATCAAGGATATTCACAACTCGCTAATAAAGATCAGGCTTTGTAACAAGCTGTAGATGTTTCTATAGATGATTTAGTAATACTAAATGTCTTGTCTTTCAGGCATTAGAAAGTTACCGAAGGACCCCACTACTTCACTCCTGGATGCATGCTCGGAGAACTCCACGGCCTGCCATGAGGTATCTGTGCTCCCACGTTTATCACTCTGCCTTATCCACTATAACAAATAATTGAGATAAACCTGGTTGCCCATCAATAGACGAATGGATAGTGAAAATCTGTGATGTATATGAATACCATCCGTCTCTAAAGAAGTATGAAATGGCGACATTTTTAGGAAAATGGAATTGATTTAGAATTTATGATATTAAATGAGGTCACGTGATCTCGGGAAGAAATGTGAAGTCTAACCCATTAAAGATGAGTATATGTAAACAAATGTACAAGTGGGTACAGAGGACATCCAGAAAAGAGATGAAGAAAGGATAGACAGGGGAATGAGGAAGGACTGAGCGAGGGTACTGAAGAGAACTTATGAAGGATGGTATAAAGCTAACTGCACTTCTGATGCCAACTCTGATATGGGCTTTTCAGTTTTGGTGGTAGGTAAATGTATAACAATACATTCGATAGTAAAATGGTAGAATCCAATGTGAAGTCATGCAGATCCCATCCCAAATGGTTACTCTAACTGAATAGAAGTCTGTTGAGATGTTAAGTCATTGGGGCTGGTTAATTTCAGAGTGTTGATGTATTTATTCATCAATGTAAATAAATAGCCTTTAAAAATATCTAAGTCATGGATCCCTAAATTTTTCCGTAGCATCTTTGACTTCTCTTGTCATAAGAACACTGTCCCAACCCATGCTATGTGACATCTGAGGTCAAGTGCTGTGAACAGATTCCCATATACAGTGACTTTGTGCAGCTACTGGTATGCTTTATCTCAACCTGATACTTTTCCATTATTTCCTCTGTCGATATTCTCAACTACAGCTGGAGATAAAGTAGACAGTAAATCTCCAACAAATAGCAGCAGGTACTGGTAAGCATTTGAGGTAATGAATATGTTAATTAGCTTAAGCCAGTCATCTTGCAAGGTATGTATTTCAAAACAGCATTTTACCTTTGTTTATTTATTTATTTTGTGTATATATGTAGCCTCATACATGCCGAGACATGATATATATGTGTATGTGTGTGTGTATGTGTATGTGTGTGTGTGTGTGTATGTGTGTGTGTGTGTATGTATATGTGTATGTATATGTATATATTATATGCAGAGAGACAGAGAGAGAGACAGAGACAGACAGTGAGAGACAGACAGAGAGACAGAGACAGAGATCAGAGGTCAACTCTCAAGAGTCAGTTCTCTCTTTCTACTCTGTGGATCCTGGGAATCCGAACTCAGGTCATCAGGCTTGGTGGCAATCCTCTTCACTACAATATTTATTTCTCAATTTAAAGCAGGTTGAAAAGTTAGGGAGGAAAAAAAGCCTACGTGGTGTTAACTTTGTTAACTGATCTTAAACAGTGGTATAGACTCGCCAAGTGTCCTTAATCTGATGTTTGACAAATTTTATAATGAACTGTGTTTTCCTTAAAGCAAATCACAACTGCAGCCATTACTGTCGTTACTGAGGAGTTATAACAGCAAAACAATGGTATCAACAGAGAAAACAATGCTTGTCTTAGTTTTTTTTCTAGGAGAGAGCTTGTGCTTTACAAATTGAAACATCTGTGTAACATCTGTGAACTCTAGGGAGCTGAGGTCATTGAGCTCAAGGGAGAAACTGCAATCAAAAACTTCTGAGCCTCAGCTTATTCATTTAATCAAAAGAATCTGAATGAACTGGTAGGAGGAGAACCCAAACTCTCAACATAGGAAACAAACAAACAAGACCAAAAAAACTAACACATCTATCTAGCTGTATTTAATTCTTCTAACCTTCATAATATTCTCTCTCAGCTCCAACGCAGGGGCTCTGCTAACTGCATTTCTGAGTCCAACTGTCATGGACTTTTCAGTTTTCGTGGTGGGCAAGTGTATAAAACGCAGTGAAGCTTTTGCTGCTTGAAGCTGTTGATGAGCTGGAGTCTGGGAACTGTGCCAACAACTTCTTCCAGACTAGTTAATCAACTCAGCCTCATTTATATTCTCTCAGACTGAAAATGAAGGAAAGAATATGTTTTAGAAGAAGGATTAAACTCTAATATTTTATGAAATGATTTGGTCCTTCGTAAAGTTGTCATGAAACCTCACTGTCATGGTCTCTTCAGGGGGACTCATCATGATGAAGACAGGAGGCAACACATAGCTATCACAGCTGAGCATACATGTATGTTATAGGATATAAATATATATAATATATGTTATAGGATATATATACACACATATATATGTTATTGGATATATATATATACATGCATGTTATAGGATATATACACACATGTATGTTATAGCATCTATATACACACATGTATGTTATAGCATTTATATACACACGTATGTTATAGCATATATATACACATGTATGTTATAGGATATATACACACATGTATGTTATAGGATATATACACACGTGTATGTTATAGCATCTATATACACACATGTATGTTATAGCATCTATATACACACATGTATGTTATAGCATATATATACACACATGTATGTTATAGCATCTATATACACACATGTATGTTATGTTATAGCATCTATATACACACATGTATGTTATAGCATCTATATACACACATGTATGTTATAGCATCTATATACACACATGTATGTTATAGCATATATATACACATGTATGTTATAGGATATATATACACACATGTATGTTATAAGATATATATACACACATGTATGTTATAGGATATATATACACACATGCATGTTATAGGGTGTGTATATATATATATATATACACACACACACATGTATGTTATAGGATATATATATACACATATGTTATAGGATATATATACACACATATGTTATAGGATATACACACACATATATGTATATATATATACACATTATATATGTATATATATATGCACATATATGTTATGGATATAGATATATATATACACATTTTAAAATTGTGACAAATATGCATAAAACTTATATTTCTCTTTTTTTTTTTTTTACAATTTCTAAATGCATTTTGATGGCATTGGTTACACGCACATTTCTGGGCACCTAACTTCTATTCCTAGAACTCCCTTCAGCTTGGAACACGAAACTCTGTACTCATGAAACATTAACCTTCTACTCTGAATTCTAGGGTTTAGAAGCCAAGACCAGCTTCTTAATACCTCTGTGATGAAGAGAAAATCCAGTAATACTGTCATCTCCCTATTTCCTTCTCATATTCTGGTCACCTACTGAGTTGTGAGAGTTGGTAAAAACTCCCATTAGGAGATCTTGGGGCACAGTGTCTTTAGGAGCAGAGAGCCAGATACTGCTGGTTGCACTATTGTGTAGTGCCAGGGAAGTGTTAATGAACGTCACAAACCAGACAGGAGCTGATCTGATGCAAATCACAACATGGCCTTTTATTCCAGCTAGCTTGGGCCCTTCAGTGCACTGCTGACATGTGGGACGGTTTTGGTGGTAAAAAGCCCTGAACATCTATGGGGCAAAGCAGCAAGCGGGGGATGGGAGGGTGAGTGTGCATGCATCTAATTGGAAAGCTACTATGGTCTTTAGTATAATTGGCTGGTCCTGGGAGCCAAATCATGAACTTAATTTCTGTTTCCCTCTGCATTGCAGGGGGCAGGCTTGTAACCTGGGGGTGTAGATTTGTTGGAGGAATAACATGGAGGTGGTGGTCTTGTTGGGGGTGTAACCTGGAGATGCAAGTCTTGTTGGGGCTTCGCCTGGAGACTGGAGACTGTTGGGGATTAACTTGGAAACTAATGTTCAGTACTCTTGTTAGTTTGCCTGAGCTTAAGTTCTTTAAAATGGAGTCTCAATTTAAAAGATTTGGCCTCTCAGTTGGAAGGGGGTAAAACAAATTGCTCGCCTAGTGGAACTGAACCACTTCACTGTGTTTGGCAGACTCCAAACACTGGCTGAGTTTCACAAAACAGGCATTCAACGCTCCCTGTTCAGCCATGTTTGTAACAGTGTTTATCAAGCTAAGTAAGTTAGTGGATGTCAGATAACAAGCGATTAGCTTAGCTAGTATTAAAAGCCATATTAACCCAACATTGAACCATGCTTTCTCCACTGCTTGTACTGCCTGAGAACTCATCAGACATAGACTGGGGTAGAAAACCCACTCTCTTCAATTCTTCACAATCCAATCAAGAAGGAAACTATAGCTATTTACTGAAACTCAGTCAAGAGATCCGGAGGGCATACAGTCAGAGACTCCATAGACTCCAGTGAACAAGCATTCCACTGAAAGGACGGGAATCCATTGTGAACTAGAAACAGCTGGGGAAAGTTAAAAAAAAATGTTTTATTTATACTTTGAGAATTTCATTCAATGTATTTTGGTCATACATATTTATTCCTCCTCTAACTCCTCCCAGATCCCTACCACTTGTTCTCTCTTCCTCTTTTTCTCCTTCCCTCCCTCCTTTCCTTGAGACAGTGTTTCTCTGAGTAGCTGTGACCATCCTGGTACTCACTCTGTAGACCAAGCTGGCCTCAAACTCACAGAGATCCGCCTGCCTCTGCCTCCTGAGTACTGGGGTTAAAGGCTTGTGCCACCACTGGCCAGATTCTTTCTCCTTCTTAAAAACAAAACAAACAAAACAAAACACAGAGCTAAAACCAAACCAAACACATGGAGTCTTGTTTGTGTTGGCCAGCTCCTGGATGTAGAGCCTGTCTTGTAGTGAGGTTGATACCAACCTTGTCATTGTGGAAAACAGACTATTGTCATTTGATTGCTATCAGGTAAGAGAAAGCCAGTTTTCTTTCCAAGTCCTGGGGTTACAGGTGTAAGCTGCCATGCCAGGCTTTCCGATAACATTATTGCTTAAAACATTTGGAGCGAGACTGCAAAGGAACCGTATTGAGACCTCCATTGAGTTATTGTGAGGACTATTCTTGGTTGTCAACCTGACTGCATCTGAAATTAAATAAAACCCAAATGGTTGGGCATGCCTGTGAGGGATTTTATTTTTCTTAAATTAATCATTCACATTGGAAAGACCC